AGAGAGGCTGGCGAGGGAGGAGCGCTTGTGTTTCGGGGAGGGAGGAAGGCAAAGCCAGGGTGAGGAGGAAGAGCAGAGGGAGCGGAAGGAGCCGGCTGGGCCATGCCACCAGCCCCATGGGTGACAGCTTATCTGGATGGGGTGTTTTCTCCTAGGAAACCGGGCAAAGGGCAGGTTGAGCAATCACCGGGCTGAGGAAAGCGTGGAGAGGACCCGGGGAAGCCCAAGGCCTCACCCTGCGCCCGCCAACGCCTCCCTGCGGGAGGAGATGCTGCCCCAGGCGGGGACAGGCACCCACATCCCAGTGCCATGAGGGCTCTGCCTTCCCCCTGGTGCCCCCATCAGCAAGACCAAGTGCTGCCTTCGCCCCCGTGCCGCCCCAGCTCCCCATCCTCAACCTGGGGGCCAAGAAACGCGCCCCATGGGGCTGCAGCACCTCGTATGCCACTTCTCCGCCCTAAATCCCAAACACCAAATATTTCAGAGCATCACCTGCACGTGTGCAGGTTGTCTGGGCTTCCACAGCCCTCGCCTCCACCAGCACATGCGGGCAGGGTGGCGCTACCTGATTTTTGGTGTTCAAAGTGGTGCTTGACGTGATAAGCCTTCAGGCCGTACAGGTAGGTGCCTTTGGGGAGCCGTAGTGGAGGTAATAGTGCATCATGTCATAGATGACGTAGCCGCAGAGCCCCCCGACGAACACCGAGAGCCCCAGCACCTCGGCCAGCAGGAGCCGGAGGCCGCCGTAGAAGAAGCCGATCACCAGCGAGGCTGGCACAGGAGGAAAGACCAGGCGGGAGCTGTCGAAAGGACACTGGAAGCAAAGAAGGACGGTGGGACAGGCAGCTCCTACCTCACCCTCCATTCTCAGCGCGTCCCTGTCAAGCATCGGGGATGCCCATGTAGGAAAAGCCGACACCAAAGCAGCCCCCAAAAACCCTCCCCAAAAGATGCACCCAGTGGCAAGAGCAGCCCCTTGCCCACGCCGAGGTGGCCCAGCAGTCGGTGGCTT